ATTTTATAAAATAAATTTGACTCGACTCGACTCGAAAAAAATGAGTCGAATAGAGTTGATCTTTAAACTCGACTCGACTTAACTCATTCAGAACTCTAGTTGATTCAGTCGCTTTAATCAATAAGTCTTAGAACTGATCCCACTGTTTGTTAAGCAACAGTTGTGTCCAAAAAGTGTTAACATTCACAGTTTTCAATGAGCAGCCGTTTAAGAGTGCATCCAATTTGTTTTCAAATTTGTTCTATTTGTGATCGTCCATTTTGTTGAAGTCAAAACTAATTTTCGCCTTTTTTTCTTTTATTGAATTTGATATCTAAAAAGTTAGCACACTTTGTCACCACTGGTAGGTGATCTGATATATCTGAGACTATCGGGATGGTATAGCAATCCAATATGTTGACAGAAAGTTCTGTTGATGTCCATATATAGTCAATTCTTGAGGTGCTTTGACTGTTAGTGTATGAAGGAAAGCTGGTTCTTGCACAGTCATGTTTGAGGGTGAAGGCATCAAACATAGACATTCTAAGCAACATGTCAAAGTATTTGAGTGCATTTGTCGGGTTATGTTAACGGTCCATATCAACATTGAAATCTCCTAGTACAGCCACATGATAATCTAGGGATGAAGCTTCTTTGATCCATTTTGTAAGTATATGTTGGACTTCCTGTCTGGTTTTCAAGTCTGCGGGTGGTAAATAACAGTTAATGACACGTAGTTTTTGTTTGTTAACGAACTGCAAATCTACGTAAATCAATCGATCTAGCTTTGTATCGTATTTAAAAACATGATGAGTGATATCTTTTTTTAATATGAGTCCAATTCCGAAGGCCGTTCTCTGTCGTGATGTTGAACTGAAAAATGAGATGTGAGAGGAATGAGTTGGATTGAAGTTCTTTGCATGTATTTGTTTAAAATTGGTTTTTTGAAGGCCAATGATATCTATATCATTTGCAGAATAGAGGAAAAGGAGGAAATGTTGTTTTGCAGTATTTGTGAATGATCTGACATTGTGGATAGCGATGGTAAGATTTGGAATATTTATAGGAAGGGTAGAGTTGTCAGTAATTGAGAATGTTGAAGCATTATTAATATCTGTAAAGACAGTAATCATAATTATTTGATTTAAAATTGAGGAAGGCTCTTTAGAGCCTTGTTTGCAGTTATGTCGTAGTTAGTGTTAAGGGTTAATATTTCTGCTGTTTTTTCTGTTGGTAATAAATTATTTCAGGTGAGGATTATACAGAAGGCATTATATGAGTTTACCAAGTTATTTACTATTTCTGTGAAATGCTTTAGCCGAAAATTCTAGGCATCATTAAGCTCTTTAAGGGCTTTTATAGTGCGTTATTGTTTATTGATAACTGAATTAGATGTATCAATAGCTGGGGTGTCATAACTATACACCATATCTAAATCGTCCATATTTTCATCTGGAGCTAAGACCTTAATATTGAGGGTATTTTCTATGGTATCCATTCTTTTCATAACGGAACCCATGGCGATTGTGAAATCTTTGAGTTTCTGAGTTAGGTGAAAGAAGCTTTCCTTGATAAATGCTTTGAAATCGGTCTCTTCATTAGATTTCTCATGCATGGAGCCTCCAGCTTTTATGCCCGTGGCTATATCACGTGATTACTTTAGAGTAAGTGTGTATTATCTGGACCTCTTAACGCAAAGGATCCATCTTCGTTGTTGGAAATACAAAATTTTGGCTTAACTGGGGGTGAAGGTTTTTCTTCCTGACTTCCTTTAATTATTCCAGCAAAAGTCACGTTCGGATTGACCACTCTACGTCTAGGGTGGGATAGAGCCTTGTAATTATTGTATTAAGCAGGCTGGAATCGTTGGTACAAGTTTTGTGTATTTCTATCGGTAGGTGTTCTTCGTTTTTTTGAACAGTCTTTAATTTTGTGATGGGGAGATGAACAGATGGCACATAATTTCATTTTGTTACTTGTCCATTTCACGTGTTTACCATTAATTGTGAGGTTGTCATTACTAATTGCCACTTTGTGATCTTCCGCCGATGCGAAGTAGAAGAAGGCATGTTGTAGATTGTTGTAGTTAGATCTAGCCTTAGGGATGATCTAGGTTATCGCGTTGACCATCACTCTAAGTTCGGATAAATCTTTGCCCGTAATATAATGTGGGAGGCATGTGAGCTTGGCCGAAAACTTTGATCATTCTAATATTTGGTCTCTTAATAAGTCACACATATGGAATCGCACCATATCGTTGAGGATGAAGACACCATAACCTTTTTTAAGTTCTGTGAAATTGGTATCGTTAACGTAAGTAATTGTGACTTGTTGTCATAAGTTTTTTGTTTCTATGGTGAACTTAACGATCTTTCCAAATTGGGAAAAGATTTTCTTGATTCTATTTTCAGTTGCGTCCAATGGAATCTCTGTTACTTTGATGAATTGTTGTGATATGAACAGATGTTTGGGTATGATATCAAGGGGCAAAAATGTGCGTTTTTCTAAGTTAGGTAAGGTGATCATACAGAACGCATCCCTTTCTTCTTTGTCAGAAAATGTCACCTTAAGTATACTTTTTGATTGGTCTTCTGGGTGTTTAGCTAGTGTGATGCCTGAAAATGAGTCAAATCTATTGAAAACGAGGTCCATGACGTCAGTAACTTTCGTTTGAGAGGATTTTCCAGGGTAGTCGTCTGTTGGAAAGTAAGCGAAAAATTTCATTTTTTTTATGAAAATTTCTTGAGAACTCTTCTTGTTGTTCAAAAAATTTTTGAAGGCGTCATTGGCGTTATTGACGTTCATTTCACTTTGTTCTGTAGTGACAACTAAGGTTGTTTCACTTTGTAAAACTTCTTTGCCCTTTTCTTTATCGAGCGGAGAAGGATTGACGTCCATAAGTGGAATTTCATTGTTATTGTTGGTGAACATACTGTTTTCAGGTTCAACAGTTTGCAAAGTGTTTTGCTTTTTCTTTAGTTGTTGCTCTGAAGTACCAGGGTGAAAGTGAGGTTGTTGTTTTTGTTGGTTTTTATTGTTCTCTTTCTTTGGTCTTGGCATGGTAGCGGAAAGAGTTTGTATTAAAATTTATTGTTTAAAAAATAAAAAATAAAATAAACAGCTATTTTTAGATGATCAGGTATAATGTAAACAGATTATATAATTGGAGCATTTACAATAATATATAAACAAACAAAAAGCATAAAGCAAAAATTGTAATAGACAGGTGGGAAAGTATTTTTTTGCACACATTTTATGAAATTCAAAGTGAACTTTACTCTTAATAAAAGTTTTTACATTTATTATTAATTATTATAATTAAAAAGCATATTTGAAAAAGAATAAAATTCTACATGAAAAACTGTAATTTTAACATTTAATTATTATATTAATTACTGTTTTATATAATCTTAAAAATACAATAAAAATCAATAAAAAAATTTTTTTTAAATTTATTTAAAAAAAATTAATTATATTAAAACAAAATAATAACTTTAAATACTTTTATTTGATACTTTTTTTTTTTATTAAGTGTGGTAATTTCATGATATACATTATATTGATACAGTATTTAATAAATTACATAAATATAATATTCAAAAAAACAAAAAAATTTGAGAATTAATACAATTATGAAAAGCTATTACTTAATGAATATTAAATCACGTGATACTAAAATTTATATTATGTAGATTCAGATATATAGAACATTTTTACTTAATACATAATAAGCAATTTACTTTAATCAAAGTGACCAAATTATCTTGTGAAGTTAAAAAAAAGGTTTGCAATATTAATAAAGTTACAAAAACACATATTACAACATGAATATTAATCCAATTGAGATTAAATTTTATATACAAATAGTATTGTACTTGCTAAATAACTTTCACTTAGAAATGAAAAGCGATTGACTTTGACTAAAGTGTTCAAATTTTCTTATAAAGTTATAAAAGTGTAACTTATTTAGTAAAGTTACAAAAAAAAAAATATTTCTATACAAATATATTAATCCAGTCAATATAAAATATTAGATATAAATAGTATTGAATCTGTTGAATAACTTTCACTTAGAGATAAAAGATGATTTACTTTGACCAAAATGCTCAAATTATCCAGTGAAGTTAAAAAAATGAATTATTTAGTAAAGTTACAAAAAAAATTATTTCTATACGAATATTAATCCCATCAATATAGAAAATTAGTTTAAATAGTATCAAACTTGCTGAACAACTTTGATTAGAGATAAAAGGCAATTGACTTTGACCAAAGTGCTTAAATTATCCTATGAAGTTAAAAAAAAGGTTTATGATATTAATAAAATTACAAAAACACATATTACAACACGAATATTAATCCAATTGAGATTAAATTTTATATACAAATAGTATCAAACCTGCTGAGCATCTTTTACTTAGAAATAAAAAGCAATTGACTTTGACTAAAATGCTCAAATTTCCTTGTGAAGTCAAAAAAGTGTGACTTATTTAATAAAGTTACAAAAAAAATTATTTTTACACGAATATTAATCTTATCAAGTTAAAACATTAGATATAAATAGTATTGAACCTGCTAAACAATTTTTTTTAGAAATGAAAAGTAATTGACTTTAACTAAAGTACTTAAAATTTGTCATGAAATCTCTGTATTAATGTTTATAAAAAAAGATACTAAATATATATGGTGCAAGTAAACTATACTCAACAATAAAATTGTAATACTTAAAAATTTTTCTAAAATTTTAAAAAATAAATTTTAAAGAAAATAAAATGGTAACTTTATTCTTTAAGATATGTACTATTAAATTACCAATTTGGATTTTTGAAAAAAGATCTATATAAAAAATTTTAAGTATTTAATTTTGTCTGATTTTTATATGATTAATCCGTATTTAAAACAAATTGAATCACATGAAAAAGATATTATTGATCAAAATTTTTTATAATTTAGACTGAAATTATGATAATTTAATGCTAGCCTGAATTATTACATTCATCTGACCATGAGAAATACTTCACATGTTAATGGGAAAATTTTGATTCGACTTTATTAATGTCATGTAAAATAAGATGTCAACAATAAGTTAGCAGGATACCTAGAAAAAAAGGATGTTATGTATCTCAAAATCAAGTTGAAACTATTACAGAAGAGATAGGAACTATTAAAAATGAAAAATTATTAGAAAATGAAATTATTGAAGAATGGTCAAAAGATGAAACTATCAATTGGATAGAAAAAAATTGAAAGAGTTTGATAAAGTAGAGGAGAAACTTATCTCTGAAGTTCTTCATTAGCATAAGAATACTGCTCATAGTATCAGAGTAGTATATACTGGAAATTCAAGAACTACGATATGAAAGAAAGGAAAAGAAAAAAAAGAAAAAAAAATTGGATGATAATGCAAAAGGAATGAGAACACTTGATATATTTTTTAAAAGTTCTGAAATTTTACATTTATCGCAATCATCGCAATCATTTCTATCACGATTATCTTCATATTCATTGCTATTACCATTACCATCCCTATCTTCATCATCATTTTCAGAAATTTCTCCATTTTCCATTGATAATTTATATACACGTTTAAAAGAAATAGATTAACAATGTATTTTATCAAAGTCTGCAAAAAATAATAAAAAAATCCTTACTTATGATTATTTACGATGTCTAAGTATCTGCAAATTCATTCAGCTTTTATTAGATAGACAAAGTAAAATAAATGCCAGTGGTAATATTATACAAATCATATAGAATAAATAAAACTATATGGCAAGGTATATTCAGAAATGGGAAACTCATTATATACGGATAGGGATACTTCTTCCTTATCGTCAAGAAAAACATACAAAATTAGAAAGCTTGGTAGATAATGAGGACTTTAAAGAAGAATGCCTTATATAGTTATGATAGCAAACACTAGAGTCGTGATCTTTTAAATACCTAAAAATTTATATTAAAGAAATAGTGTTTCCAAAATTGGTAGAACATATTAAAAAATATACTATTTCTAAGAAAATTTGTTAAAATTATATGTATAAATAGTGATATAAGTATAATAAAAAAAAGGGAGTTTATTATGATAGACATGAGAGATCAGATATGGTAGCATATAGAAAAGAATAGTTAAATAGAATGTTTGAATATAAGAAATATATGAAAGACTTTGATAGTGATAAATTAGATAACATTTTAAAACCTCAACTTAAGTCAGGAAAGAAAGAATTAATATAAGTAATACATGATAAATATCACTTTTATGCAAATAATAGATAGCGGAAAATTTGAACAAAAGAGGATGAAAATATCTTACGCTTAAAATATATTAGTCATTCTATTATAGTTTTGGCTTTTCTTTGTTCATGTCATGGATTGTTACAACTATCCGATGAACAATTATAAGCAAACTCACATATCAGAAATAAAGAAGCTTTTATTCTTTGATCTATACAAAAAGATGGGTATTAGAAGTCAAAATATATATTGGATCAGGTTTGAGTTTTTTTTTGTTCATAGATCTAGATTAAAATGTAAAATTTAAAAAAGAATTATTAAAATATCTCCTCATTATTTAGCTTGTACATTAAGCAATCCCAATATTTGAAATATTACATCCTGAATATATTGGTATTTTTTGTTTCAATCAATCAACAAACCATAATGTTATAGTAGCTAATACATTTATTATAATGAAAATGAATTTAGATTTCAGAGAAACACAGCCTAAGTTGTGTAATAGTTGGTATATTAATGAAAATGGTAAGAGATATGTATAATCAATGATATTTTCAGATAATCATCAATTAAAAGGGCAACCAAAGGGTATTAAGCAAGTATTTAAAGAATGTAACCTTTAGCTAATAAACAGAATCTGCCTAATATGTGAGCAATGTTCTGGAAAATATAATGATGTTAATTTAGAGAGATTAGATTATTGTGTAAGAAGAATAATGTCATTGCAATCTGATTTTCAAAAATAACAGTTAATATTAGAAGAAGTAATAAATAAAGCAGGACACATTTTTGAACATTACTTGAAATTCTATTATGAGTGCAACTTCATAGAGTGATATTGAGTTTTATAAAGCGGAAGATTAGATAGCTTTGCAGTTATAGTTTTGCAGATTTAATAAAAAGAGTTCTAGAAGTTCTTGTGAGTGTTCCTATATCATCTATTCATAAGTTTGCACGTAAGTCATAGAGATATATGGATGCATATATTAAAGGATTAGAAGGTAGAACTGCTGAATAGACTGTTAATAAATACAAATCACATCGTCGATTACCTGATAACATTAAAAGATTAATGAATTAATAGATTAATAAATTGTAGTTTTATCACCTTCAATTAATGACAATAATTTTTTTCATCTTTTCATAAATTATAATAAAAGTTCAGTATTTAATACGAAATATTATATGTACATATATATACATATATACATATAACATGTGTATATTAAATAAAAAAGATTTTTTTATTACATAAAAATTTTCATTTTTTATTAGCTAATTGTATATCATGTGATATAAATTCTGCGCTAGAAATTTGAAATATCATCATGTGATTGTTGAGTATAGGTTTCCTGTACTATATAAAAATTAAAATTTACAAAAATAAAAATAATTACATTTAGTAAGAGTTCTTATAAATTTAAGTATTTAAAAATAAGGTTATTTTTTTAAAGATTATGTTAAATAAAATAAAAGTGTTTTTTTTGTTAAAAAAAGAAAAAAAAAAGATTGGAAAATTGATTTTCAGTATAGCTATAATTAATTGTGCAACTGTAATTAATCATCAAATTAAAAATTTCCATATCATTTTGCATACAATTTTTTTTACAGAAAAAGCAAAAGAAAAATAACAAAATAAATTAGAGTTTTAAATTGAATCAAATATAATATATTGTTTATTAAATAATTTAAATAATTTG